CTATCGGTAAACGATGAAGCTTCAATAAAGATTCTTAAAAAAAAAAGCATACGATATGTTTTCTAATTGTTATATAGGTTAAAGCTTTCATATGGAAGCTCGATAATTAAAAAAAATAGAAGGGAAAAATGGGGCCAAAATGTGAAAAAAAATATAAATATTGAAAATCGACATCCGTTTCCGAAGAGGAAAAGGAAACGAAATAACGGATATATATTCGTAAAATGTAGCATGATCATTTTCGTCGTGGTTTCGTCTATTGATTGTCCAGGCAAAAATAGGAAATAAATTCGCATACGGGAAACGTGCTTTCTGCGCGATTAAAAACTCTCTTCTCGATATTACAGTGGAACGCCGGTTAATTCGCCCTAATATGAAGACAAAGCTTTAAGACGAAACCACATCCAATGCTAATTGCAACGCAATGCCACGCAATTCCTCCGCGTCCATAATTAGTATTCTCTATGCCGCACGGTACTTGGCAATTGTCTATTAATTATATCGAATCGATAGCCCCTCGCAATCGATGTCAGTTAGGAAGATTGGACGGTCGCCGTTTCTAATTATTCTCGAACGAACAACTCCTTCAATGGACAATAATCGGACAATTAGGCGGAGAGTTATCCAATCTCTCGAAATATCGAGGAAGAAAACGAGGGCATCTTGGATAATTCTTGGATAATACTTGGATTATCTCGCAGACACCGATAGTGATAACGGAAGCGAGTAAGTAAGTTTTCACGAAGAAACCGTGAATTCCTTGGGACGATTGATATTCTCCCTCTATGTCACGAAGAGACCGACAAATTTGCCGCCTCGAGCAAATAATCACGCGTCCCAGGATCGTGGATGGTCCAATAAATTTCCCCGGCTGCGACTACTTTATCTCGACATCCTACTCAACATATTCGCTGTCGGGAATCGAATGAACGAATGAACGATGTCTCGCAACGTTATCCGCATTCATAATCCACGATTTTCTCCATGCGTTCATTCGAAATATTCCAAGGGGACGCATCGATACATCTTTGCATTGCACGTTGGAAATATATCGAACGTGACGTTAAAGCATTGATATCGGAATAATAGGAGATCAAAGAGGAGATGTAT